GAACCTTGCGGTCAGCACTTGAAGGTTGTCATGGGATTTTATGGGCGATAAAAACTAATATAGTTACCTCGAAATATCAAAAAACATTGGCAATTTTTTTGTCTTTTAAAAACGAATGTAACTTTTTAAACGCACGTTTGCATTCAAATATTGTGACATCCTGTAGCCTAAACGACTTCGTATTATTCCTTCTTCTTAATAGGTTTTAGATATTCTTAAATTAAAATCGATTTATCAACTAGAAAGAAAAATATGGATCCTCTAGCTGTCGCTCGACTCCGTCCGCGGGAAATTAAAAAAAAAATAGTAGCTTATGTTTTCTTCTAGACTATGTTCTACAACTGAAGCAAGTTTCATCAAGATCCATTAAGCCGTTCCGGAGATACCTTCTAACAAACATCCATCCATCTAAACATTCGCATTTATAACATTACTAACAAGTAAGATGCAACAGCTTAGATGAAGGGATGGTTGTTAGAAATTATCTGTGGAACAGCGCAACGGATTTTGATGAAATTTGTCATATATATAGAACATAGTCTGGAAGTACACATAGGCTACTTATTAAGTTTTAATTCCGCGGACTAGTTGCTTAGTTTATTTATATTACTAAATAGCTTACAACATAAAACCCAAACCACTTATCCATCTACGTAATATACTTAGCAGACATTTTGATACTTATTGCTAATAAAATAGAGGTCATATTTGTAACTTCTAAATTGAACTAATTTGTTCAATGAACGTTGTTTCATCGGAATGCGTGCTGTATGATGTCATAGATAATGTAAGTAAAAGAAATCTTACTAATATTATAAATGCGAATGTTTGAATACATGTTTGTTGGAAGATATCTCCAGAATGGCTGCATGGATCTCGCTGAAATTTAGCATAGATGTAGAACATAGTCTGGAACACATAGGCTACTATTTTTTTAATTCCACGCGGACTGAATCGCGGGCGATAGTTTATATACATGATACATATAATAACGATGGTACATTTTCTCTGCCGAAACATTTGCACAAGTTCAATGAAGCTAGACAAAGTGTATTTGATCCGAAGTGGTTCCATAAAGAATTTCAAAAATGTATGAAAATTACCGCGACAATCACCTGACTGAATCGCTGCGGTGCGAAAGTACCGTGTCTAGCCACGCAGGGCGCTTAACCCTTAATTCGATGGTGTCCAGTATGACGAACAACTAATTAAAAAAAATCTACTGAACTAGTTCAGAGAAAATTACTTAAGTATGACTTTACTAAAAAAAACAGTTTTTTTACAACAAAAAATTTCGTCGAATTAAGGATTAAAAAGGGCATAGGCATCAAAGAATTACTCGTATCCCTGTTAACTCTCGCCAAGAACGTTTGTAGTGATAAAATTATGGGTAGGAAATTTAATTCTTCGGCTTTGTCTTAAATAACGAGAGTACAAGGAAATAGAAGCGACGCGAATCAATATACACTAGTTAACTTCATAGGTCACTTGATTTGCCGTGACCAATACTTTTAGTGCTGTCTATTTATTTTAAGTGATTCTATTAGTATTTATTGGTCGACTGAGTGCCTTTTAGGGGAGTTGTCGCTCGTAGAGTTTGAAATTCCAAAATTTAATAGATTTTGCCTGAACAAATGGTTTTAAAATTATCGAGTTTTAATCCATACACTCACACATCTATGAAATATAAGAAAATAATATTTCGTAAACAAAATGTATTTGCGTTGCTGACATTGAAAAGCAAATTTTAAAAAGATTTCGTCCGGGTAATCTCCGAAACAGCTGGATTGGAAGGTAGCTGAATGCGGTAGTAACTTGGGGTATTCATTTTTATTCTGACAAAGTCGCAGACAACTGTTATTTATAACAAAACTAGCTATCGCTTGCAACTCCGTTGGCAATAGCTTAATGGTTAAGGGTACGGAGTTCCGATCACGAGGTCGGGGGTTCGAATCCCGCCATTCGACTAATGTCGTAAACCATATCCTAGCACACGCCTACAGCTTAGTTGGAATGGTAAAAGAAATATTAGTAAATTTACAAAAAGATCTGCTAATATTTTAACAAAAAAATTAAAAAAGAACTTTATTAGTAGCCTATGTGTTCTTCCAGACTATGTCTTACATCTATGATAAATTTCATCGAGATCCATCCATCTAAACATTCGCATTTATAATTTTAGTAAGATATAGAAGATTCCCTTTCTTTGTATGGACTTCTCGGAACCGTATCCCCTCACGTCTCCCCCTCATCATCCCAATCTCAATGCGTTATAATTACAAGAAATTGTACTCGCCTGCACTGACACTTGATGTCCCAGATACACACGTGTTGGCCGTTTACTGGCCATACGAGACTTTATTATTGCAACCATGATTTTGAACAAATTCAGGATAAGTTTCCTTATGAGAAAAAAATAAATTAAAATGTCACTTTATCAGATTATAAATTAAATTATAGTACCATACTTTGATAGTTGTTTTTTATAATTATATACATATAAATATTTATATTATACACATACACAAAAACACACACACACATGTACACACACACTCACTATAATTGTTAGTTCATAAATTAGTTGTTTTTCTACACAAATAAATATTAAATTTACATGTAAGGGAAGTCCTTTGCTCCTTAAGTACAGGTCTTCCTAGTTAAGGAGCCAAGGCAACATTGAATTTTGATTTTTTTGTGAATAACAATAAAGATTTATTCATTTTTCAATTTTTTTTTATAAGATAAGGGGGTAAATGAGTGTTGAGAACACTGAGGTGATCAAAATGTCAAAGGATATAACACCATAGAAACTACAGATACATTGCCGGACTTAACTTCAACAAAAACCAATACTGTCTTGTATCTAAGAATCTATGGGTTTTTATCACAATTAATGTCCTTCTAAACACTCTTATAGTAAATATAATATTACAAATGGCATTGTTTGGATGAATAGATGTTTGTTAGAAAGTATTTTCAAAACAGCTGCATGGATCTCGCTGAAATTTGACATATATGTAGAACACAGTCTGGAAGAACACATAGGCTAAATTAAGTCTTTTTTACGACAGTTAGTAGTAAATAATTTCTACTATATTTGCAAACCAATTGATTTAAATTATAGCTCCGTCATATAACAACATTGTCCCACATTTAACAACAAATATGGTGTCAATAGCTTTAGCCAATTGCCTCAGCTTACAGCTATGCAGTGTGGGAAGTGTTCCATTTGACACATTATGTACCAGTCAATGACTTAGCATATACGACCAAAATATTAAAATTTTATTGATAAAATCCTAAAGAATAATATTTCAAAACTAAAAAGGTCAGCACATTACTGTTTCAAAATCTGGATGACTTAAGCTGGATGATGAAGCTTTGCTTGGTATTTTTTTTTTTAATTGAGTTGGAAATTATATTTCAATTAAATAAAATGATGAAATATGAATAATATTTTTCTATCTTACCGATAGAAAAAGTTAACTTTATGTTTAAGTTAATTATCGATAAAACACGAATAAAATGACATTTTCTAAAAATGATTCCTAGCTAGATCGATTTATCGCCCCCAAAACCCCCTATATACTAAATTTTATGAAAATCGTTGGAGCCGATTCCAAGATTCCAATTATACATATACAAGAATTGCTAATTTAAAAATATAAAATACATCTCTATAAGCAACATAAGTGAATTACTTTCACACAAACAATCCATACTTTAAGTCTAGATTAAATAGATTAAGAAACTAAAAAAAAAATTACTAACATGTTCTTCCAGACTTTATTCTATAGCTGTTGCATGTGACTCTCTGTGCGGAATTAAGAAAAAAACTTAATAAGTAACCTATGTGTTCTTCCAGGCTATGAATAGGTATGCCAAATATCATCAAGATCCGTTAAGCCGTTCCGGAGATACCTTCAAACAAACATCCATCCATCTAAACATTCACATTTATAATATTAGTAAGATAATGTGCTAATTTAGCAATGTGGTTGAAAAATTAACACATATTGAAGAACTTCCAAATACTACTAAAATATACATACATATATTTTTAACATATAAGCTATATTTTATGACAACATTCTATCATTTAAAGACTTTTAGGTATTAAGAAATACTTGCCCACACATTAGTCAAATTCCTTTACTTTGGATAAAGTTAAGAGCCAACTCTGTGTAGGTAGCATTATGTAATCCATTGATTTTTGAAATCTCTTAAATTACAGAGTAGTTAATCGATCACTAAGGATATACTTAGTATAGATTAATATAAGAAATTAAACTAAGGAGTCTGCTTAAACAATTATGTTACATGAGTCATGATAATATCTTACTTCTTACTAAAATTGTAAATGTGAAAGTTTAGATGTTTGAAGGTATCTCTAGAATGGCTAAACAGATCTTGATGATATTTGGATGTATAACACAGTCAGGAAAAACACACATGCTACTACTTAAGTTTTTTTATACCGCCCAGAGTCGCGGGCGACAGCTAGTTGGGCGTAAAAATATATTTAACTACCAAACAATTGGTTACTAAGTTATAATATTTTTTTAGACTAATAGTGAAACTATATCTATAACAATCCTGAATTATTCATCAAGTAACCATTCAATTGAGACAATTAACAATTCAAATTCATAAGGAATAATTATAACATTTAACACATGAAGAAACAGATAAAACAAAAAGTGACGATACTTTTTGGAAACTCCTGTGAGTTATTCAAAATAAAAAGACGTATTTCTTCATTTTTAAAAATAACGTATTTGATAAAAAAAAATAAACAAAACTAGTTCTTATTTTCTTGCACCATATGCAGTTTTTTTAACATCGAGGTCAACTTGGCTGGGGATAAAGCAAAAAATTTTGCAATGGATGTCAAAAAAGGAGACAACAAGTTTGTTGCTTGACCGCCCGTAAAGTTTGAATCGTGTCCTTTACGAATTTTATATTCCTAAAAACATAATAAAACTTTTCTAACTTACCAGAACGATTTTCTGACACAAAACTTGTTCGTTTATTCAAATTTACATGTAATTAGAACTTCACAAAATGAAAACAATCACAAAAAAATCTTTACTAAGTTATAGGCGCAATTTAGCAACTTTCAAAAACATCACAGATATGCCACAACACAAATTCGAATTACAGTTAATAAGTTCCACAAAATAAAATAAAAAGTCGGTTAGTTTTATTGCAAAAAATAAAACATAAACATAAACGAAAACAAAATCCACCGACCTACAAGACCAAACGAACTGTACTGAACAGAAGTGAAGTTAGTTGAATTGCATTAAGTTGAATGGAGTGAAGTGATTAGCGAAACATGTTCATGTTATCGCCATCTAGTGGCGTTTTTATTCACTGATTTATTGAAAGAATTTTCTTTTAGCAGTTCAGTTTCACAAATATAGATGGCTCTTTTAGTTATTGATGTATTGTTCACTTTTTCAAACTCCTTAGTTCCTATATTCCTAACCAATTACTTAGCAAAGAGGTTATAAAACAAAGTTTTAATAATAATTCTTCATTTATTTACAAACACATTACGATTGTTTTTTTTTTTAACATTTTATATTAATTGCATCACAATAAATTAAACACACAAGCCACGGTCGTTATATTGAGGAGTTTGCGAAGCTACATAATGTCAGTAAGGTCCAGTTTCTGCCGCTTCCACTGAGATACGAGGTTTGAAGCCACGCTCATCTGCCTCGTATTCCACCACCTGGTATAGAAAAATTAACTCATTCTACCATTACTGTTCATTGTTTAATTGTAAACAATTTCGAAATTTGCTTTAAAATATTCATAATTCAACCTTTTTAATTCATTTGATTCTTTGAAGATTGAAATTGTAATCGAAAAACATTGATCTATACCGAGGGCTATATATTTATGTAATTAAAATTCTTCCAGGGCTGTATTTACTGTGTTGGGCGCTCGTGGGCGACAATGAGACTGGCGCCCCATAAATTCCGGCTCCCAGCGGGTTAATACGGTCCTGTCAAATGTCTCACCTGCTTGGTACCATCAGGTAGCACCACGAAGTAAGATCCCTCTGCTCTCTCCGCCTGTCGCGTCTCCACATGACCGAAGTCACTGCCGCTGCTGTAGTCGCTTACTTTGTATCCAAATTCGTAGTTTGCGGGTTCCTGATACATAAACATTACATTTCTTGAGATATTTCATCATCATCAGGTCACCATACATCCCCACTGTGGGTCTCAGAGCCTATCTTTATATATATAATTCTTCTGTGAGTGTGTATGTCACTGAGCTTCTCTCAAACAACTGGACCGATTTTAATGAAATTTTTTGTGTGTGTTCAAGGGGATCTGGGAATGGTTTAGATTCACAATTTTGTCCGCTGGACAATGTTTTTTTAATTAATTTTTAATTTATTAGTAGTTGTTGATTTTGGAATGTTTTACATTGGATCCGACAGACGGCGCTACCATCGCATGTGTAAAATTGTCAGACAACGTCTGTCGGGTCCGCTAGTCTAAGATAAGTGACTGGGCCTTAGTCAAGCACATAGATCCAGTGCGGGTTGACTTAACACATATCTATGAATTTCTTCTCAGATATGTGCAGTATTACGATGTTTTCCTTCGCCATAAGAACATGTTTAATTTAGTTTAAATATGCCTCCATGTTATATTATACAATTAGAGTTTCCAAATCTAGGAATGTCTGAAAAATCTAAATAGGTACCTGGTTGAGCAGTTCCTCAAGAGCGCTTCTGGAGTAACTGTATCCACCAGATGTATCACTGAGTGAAGCTTCGTAGCCATCTTGCGAAGATCTACATAAAAAGAGAATGATTTTTACATCGTATTTTGAATTTTTTTTATATCATTAGCTGGCAAACGAGCGAGCTGCAGTCGCTGTAATAGTGAAGTGACCGTTGCTCATAGACATACGAAATTGCATATGCGTTGCCTACCTTTAATCGACGGAGGAGAGGATGCACAGAAAGAAAATATCTTCCCTTCCTAAGCATCCTCTCATCCGGAAAGTCCACTTCCATTCCCCATCCTTTCCTTATAAGAAAAAGGATGAGAAGGGAAAGGAGACTAAAATTAGGCCTCCGGGACGCACTCATCATACTGTAATTGGAATTGCTTCCACTTGACGCCTGTCTTCTGTGTGGTCGTGGTATTGCACCGGGCGAGGCCAACTGTTGTATGTAGCACAAAGATTCAAAGCGACTTTAAACCTTTGAGTAGAGGACAAACAAACCTTCCTGAATAAGACGAAGCTAGTGCATTAGTTTTATCAGTACTCCTCACTTCAGGTGTCCCATATTCTCCCATAGGAGTTCTTGCATTCGGGGCTCCGTACACAGTCGACACAGAACGAGATAGACCTTCAGAATAAGAATCTCTAGCAGCTATTCCTGGGGCACCGTATTCAGTTGATAATCTAGGTGCACCATAAGTTTGTGGAACTTCATTCCTTAACGAAACCATAGGGTTTTGGTAAGAACTTCTATGGTTGATTGATGATTGGGTACCAAATCTTGGAAGACCGTATTTCTGAACTGGATGACGATTAGACTCTGGAATGCTGTAAGATCTTTGCGGGGCATTGTAAGCTGAAAGAGAGTTTCTAGGTTCACCATAAGTTTGAGATACTCCAGATCTTAAGTTATCTTGGGAAAATCCTGCTGTGCTATATTCTTTAGGAATGTTTCTAGTATTTGGTGTTCCGTACAATGATGAAGATCTGGTGAAAGGTGTACCGTACTGTTGAGATATACCACGGACGCTGGGTGATCCGTAATTTTGGGATATTTCGTTTGCCTCATTAATTGATCGTGCTTCAGAGAAATCTGGAGGAAGATATTGTCGATGTCCAGGGTAGCCGTCACTGGAAATAAAAATATATAAGTTCAATTAGGTGATAGTGAATTGACATTTAATTCGTGTTCTTCCTAATTCCTATAAAAAGATGGCAAATCGGTGCCCAAGTAATATTGTCAGAGCAGCCGCTCTCTACGTTTCATTTCTATTTTACTAATATTATAAATGCAAATGTTTAGATGGATGGATGTTTGTTTGAAGATATCTCCAGAACGGCTGCATGGATCTTGCTGAAATTTGGCATACATGTAGAACATAGTCTGGAAGAACACATAGGCTACTATTTTTTTTTAAACTGCGCAGACGGAGTCGCGGGCGACAGTTTTTTGATAATAAATTAATTATTAATTTATATATTGATAAAATCAAGTTCCTTACCCAATTGGAGGTTCGGCAGACACCCACGAAATCAAACATAATAGTACAATTATCATCTGTAAATAATAAGAAAATTCATTTGAATATTATAATAAGAAAAATTATTATTCTAGACGACCCTAGAAATATCCCCAGGAATCTCCAAGGCAATGTACAGGCAACTGAACATTTCTAGTGGGTTAGTCACCTACCCTGCTATTTAGTTGATACCAGTTCGAGATGAAGCCTACGAATGATATTCCCAAAACTTTAAAGCTCTATTTATACTGATTGCATTTGACAGGATGAAAGCATTGATAACTAAACTATAACTAACAGCTAAACTCTATTGCGATATGTTAAGGATGATTTTAGAATGACAATAGTAATCGTGTATAAGAAATAACCCTATTGTTAGTCTTCAAGGTGCAAATGACGACATGTGGCCGTATTTGGATCACTCATTAATGTAGATCATTTAATACTATTTTGTGGTCTAAATGTTTCGATTGTTCATACTAATAACATTTAGAGAATGTTTAGCAAAGCTTTCTAAGAAATAAAGTTAAAAAATTAAAGATACGTTAGGGAACAAAATTTTAAATATAGGCAGGAATTTGGATGATTTGATGGACGTTTGTTTCAAGGTATCTTCAAAGGATCTCGATGAAATTTGATACAGATGTAGAACATAGTCAGGAAGAAGACATACATAGGCTACTGAGTTTGTTTAATTCCGGGCTGAGGGAGCCGCGGGAAAAAGAAGGTTTGTTCATATAGTGGATATAGATGAAGGTGTTAAAGAAAGTCGTGTTAGTTACACTATTTATAAGTCAAGAACGGCTTTACCGATATGCCTGAAAATTGGTGAGGAGGTAGCTTACAGCCAGGTGACGGACATAGGATATTTCTTGAAGAGCTGCTTTTTATTTAACTTATCTACATATTAAGTTTTTTATATACCCACGCGGGCGACATCTAGTTAAAGTTAATGTTACTGACAGAAAGTTAACCTTTTTAGTAGGTACGTGTAAATTATATTATATTTGAACAGACAATATTGGTATCATTGTGACCGCCTATATCTAAATGACTGGAATAATTTTAAAGTATGAGATTCGATTCACATTATTTCCTTGAATAATAAAATGTTCCTTAATAATGTCGCTTTTATTGGTTTAAGGAATGAACTAGTTGTTGTCTTCGACTTCATCGTGGAATGAAATACAAAAGGCTTAGTTACTACCGTATACATAAGCTATCGATTAGTTAATTCTCGTCAATAGCCACCCATTTCGGATATGCGGACAGTCAAAAATTTTAAAAATTACATTTTGTTCGATGTTACGTACATTCCAATTTTATTAATTGCAGAAATATAGACATACTAGCTGGCGCCCGGGAAACCGTCCGAGCAGAATTACAGAAAAACATATGTGTATGCAAAATTTCATCGCGACCCGTTCAATCTTTCTTGAGATACGTTCAAACAAACATCCATCCATCTAAACATTCGCATTTATAATATTAGTAAGATGAATAGAATGAAGCTAATTAGCGACCATTTCAACTCATTTCTTGCTGTGGGTTTACAGATTTTTATTGACGACGCACCTGTACAAAATATATTGATGTCCCTCTATTTGACGAATTGGAGATATAGTATGTTTTTATTAAGGGATTTTGCCTATGATTATCATGTGTATAAAATTCTCGTGTCACAATTTTCGTTCCCATACTCCTCCGAAACGGCTTGACCGATTCTCATGAAATTTTGTGAGCATATTGAGTAGGTCTGAGAATCGGCCAACATCTATTTTTCATCCCCCTAAATGTTAAGGGTAGTCTACCTCAAATTTTTTTTTGACAAACACGCGGACAGAGTCGTTGGCGACAGCTAGTTTAAATATATATTGATAGCGGCAAACGGCGACTGTAGTGATGCAGTTTTAGTCACGGTGATGATACGAATTTCTTCTATAAAGTACATAATGTTATGTTCTGTTGCAGCACATACTGTTATGTATCAAGGTACGTACATTTCGAATCGCAAGCAAAATTGCATTTTCGCTTACGTACGTTTTTCAATACTATTTTTTTATATAGTAATAATATCTTTTCTTTTTAAAGTAAGTCTACACACATTATCGTCTATACTAGTTCGTTTAATTTATACTTTTGTTGGTGTTTGACCGTTGGACCGCTCGGCCTATCAGTCGGTCCAACGGAAACTCCCCACTTTAGACACCTTATACAGGTGTCAACCAACCCGTACCTGGTCAGCGTGGTTAACTATGACCTAGTCACTAAATAAGGGTAGGCTCCGAGCCCCCCAGTGGGGACGTATAGTGAGCTGATGATGATGATAGTTTGTTTGCCAAATAACGGATCGATATGGATATTTCATATATTCCATAGTGTTCAACAATTTTCAATTTGTATGTGAATAATTGTTAAGTTACTATTATTGTTTGGTCTATTTTGTCTGGACTAACTTATTTATTCTGCGGGGAATAGGAATTATGTATTTGTACAAGTGTATCGGCAATGAAAACCCAAAGGTTGAAACAAGTTTGTAACATAATTGGATTGAATGTTACGAGACAGAAATATGTTTCACTTAAGAATCTTGATTGAATTTAATAAAGAATGTTTTTTTTTTGTATTTTTTGTTCTTGTTTTCTGATTTAAGTAAATAAATAATTCACAAATATTCAGGAAATTTTTTAACAATACGATGTTTTTACTTATTTTTTTGTTTTCATTCACGATTTAAAAAATGATTTTTTCTCTTACTTTAACAATCTTTATTAAATTTTGTATGAAAAAGAAAATCATAACATATTTAAAAAATTGTCATGTAACAATATTTTTATTTGATATTTATTACATTATAAGTAAAGGTAAAAATTAACAGAATTTTTGATTAAGTTTTTTTTTTTATTCAAATTAAACTGGATACATAGATATCATTCACTCCTAACTTAGGGTAGGCTCCGAGCCCCTCGGTGGGGACGTCTAGTGAGCTGATGATGAATAACATGGATATACTAGTACGGCCCTGTGTTACGACTGTCGACATCAGCTGGTTGCACTGAGATACGCGGCTTGAATCCCTCCTCGTCTGCCTCGTATTCTACAACCTAAAAGAAATATCTATATGAATTTCTTCTCAGATATGTGCAGCATCACGATGTTTTCCTTCACCGTAAGAACGTCGGATAAATGCATATGTGTAAATCGGAATAACACATTGGTACATGGCGGGATTCGAACCCAGGACCTGCAGATTGCAAGTCAAGTGCTTGACTCCTGAGCCATCGACGCTCTCACGACGTCCTTAAAACTACTCTGAGGGCCGTTTTAAACTCGTCTAAAATTATTTTCATGGCTTGCATTAGCTTTAAATATACAAAATATAGATTAATGACAAGAACAGACTTTCCTAGTCACCAAAGGGAGGGTTATTAGAAGATAAAAGTATTATTTTTACCTGTTTTGTTCCATCTGGCAACACAACAAAGTAAGACCCTTCAGCTTTGTCTTCTTGTCTGGTCTCTACATGACCAAAGTCACTACCGCTTTCGTAATCGTCTACTTTGTAAGCAAATTCATAGTTTGCTGGTTCCTGTGATATTAAAAAAGTTTATTACTGCTAAAGCATTGTTTTGTTGTTAGAATAATTTTGTACTGATGTTTATGTGGTAATAAATAATTTTGTCAGGAATTGGGCTTATTAAATAGCTGTCGCCCGCGATACCGTTCGTGCGGATTTAAAAAAAAACTTAATTAGTAGCTTATGTGTTCTTCCAGACTATGTTCTATATGTATGCCAAATTTCAGCGAGATCTATACAGCCGTTCTGGAGATAACTTCAAACAAACATCCATCTATTTTTTCGCATTTATAATATTAGTAACATTATTATTTCATGAAGCTAAATAGTACCTGGTTCAATAGATCTAAGGCATTCCTGGCGTACTGATAGCCCTGATCTGAAACTCCATCAATTGGAACACCATACTGATTTGATGGCATAGAGTTCCGAGATTCTGGTACACCATATTGCTGGGTTGGTGAACTAGGAAATTACAAAAAAAACTTACTTATTGAAAACTTAACACTTAATTATAATACTTTGTTACAGATGTTCTTCACTTAAGCATTAAATCTTGACCAGAAATTAGGAAATTTCTTTTGTTCTTAAGATTTGTGACTTGAATATGTCTACCTCTAAAGGTTTTGCGCCCCTCAATGGGCACTTTTATGGGCTATCGTTGATAAACTATGAACAGACTTACTTAATTGTTGAATATGATGAAACATGTGCTTTAGTTTTTGTACCAATAGATCTAGCGGGCTGTCCATATTCTTGTGAGATACCTCTTGCTTTAGGGACACCAAATTTCTCTAAAGGTTCAAGATTCCTAGCTTCAGGAGCGCCATATTGAGTTGGCAAAGAACGAGTTCCAAATTCTGAATGTACTTTTGATTGATGGACACTTGATCTGGCTGATGCTACAGGATCGGAGGAACTGTAAGCATCAGAAAATTGTGATTTTCTGCTTTGGAATTTAGGTACACCGTATTTTTGGACCGGTGATGAGTTTCTAGTAGAACTTCTACGAGATAAGTCATCTGGTAATCCGTATTCCGTTGATAGTGAACGTTGAGAAGGAAGATAAGAACTAGATGGAAGGTTTCTGGTAGTTGGTGAACCGTAATGTGTTACGCTGCTTTTTGGAACAGACGGAAAACTGGTGACATCATACTGTGAGGTGGCTGGTACACCATATTCCTGAGATAAAGACCTGAAGGACTCTTGGTTTGGTGTTCCGTAATGTTGTGATAAATTATCACGAAAATCTGGAGCTCCATATTCTTGAGAAAGTCGGGAATTACTTGGTGGTCCATAAACTTGGGATAAACTGTCCCGGAATTCTGGAGCTCCGTATTCTTGTGAAAGTCGGGAATTCTTTGGTGCTCCGTATAATTGGGACAAATTGTCCCGAAAATTTGAACCATGTTGGGACAGTCTTGAAGTTGGTACACGTTGAGGTTTGGTTTGGTGTCGTGCAGACGGGGCAGTCAGATCTGGTATATATTGCTGATGTGGTCCATGATCTTGGAGTGATTCTGCTGCGTCCAGATAACTATCTCTGAAAATGAAAACAAGTGTATTTTGAAATTTGTCAGTGATTGAAGGCTTTCGTAATTCTTAAGCAGCTACAGAATCACTAACCGAACAGGTGGTTCCGCCAGCGCCAAGGAAAGCAAACATAGAAATACAAACATCTGAAATAAAGATAATTTTAAGTTGAATTAATAATACTTTCTCTCTCATAATCGTGAATCTTGAAAACTATCTTACAAAAAACTTTTACCTACCCTCATAGTTTCAAAGCTGAACTGTCTGATAGGAATTACTTGTACCGAATACTTTCTTGCTTACATGATAGCTGTATTTATACCTAAGTAATTCAACTGTAACAATAGCTTATAGATTGCATGTTCATAATAAAAATAAATTGTAAATTGAATCCTATAACTATAGCAATAAGATCGAGTATGTGTGATCTACGCGTTGCATTGTTTAGAGCTTTTCTATTGTTGATAACACCTTCATTTAGTTGTGACATCTACGATTTGTAGGTCACTGTCATACATCGTCCTTATATCATAAACTATTTTTCATTTCTATCCAAAGCCTTTACCTTGTAGACCGTCGGTGGTTCAGGGGTCAAGCACTTGACTTACAATCTGCAGGTCCTGGGTTCGAATCCCGCCATGTACCAATGTGTTTTTTGGTTTCCGATTTACATATGAACATTTATCCCACGTTCTTACAGTGAAGGAAAACATCGTGATGCAACCTGAACATATCTGAGAAGAAATTCAAAGATATAAGTCAACCAACCCGCATTTGACCAGCGTGGTTGACTATGACCTAATCACCCTTAACTTAGGGTAGGCTCCGAGCCTCTCGGTGGGGACGTATACTGAGCTGATGATGATGACGATCCAAAGCCGTAATTAAGTAAACAAAGAATTGTTAAATTACATACAGCCGACCATTTCTTTTTTGTGTAAAAATCTTAGTAATATTAAAAGATAATGTTTGGATGGATGTTTGTTAAAAGTTATCTCCAGAACTGCTGCATGGATCTCGCTTTATGGCATAGACATAGAACATCTTTAAGAACACACAAATATTTTGGAATTTACTAGTTTTAACATAAACTTTATAGTTTGTCTATGATGATAATAAGTATATCTCTTTTATATTAATTTGCGTACTCAAATAGAAAAAAACACTTCAAATTCTTTACAATTTTAATTTAAGTTTTTTAAACTTATGTACACGGAAAGGCGAAGGAAGCCTTACTATATTTATTTTATCAAACGTAATACTATCAAATATTTCAATAATAGGATCTGAGTAACAACGTATTTCAAGTAACTCTGTTGTTAATATTCTATTCGTTATATTATTAGCTTTCATTATATCATTAACAGTTGGTGCCCAAAAATGATATTTTCCATACAGATGTGCATAATTTACAACAACGTTTCCAATTAAATTAGCCAAGTAAAGAACTTCTATAAGAATAATCATTTTCTTCCCTTTGAGTCTAATAGTTGCTTTACCTCCTGGTTTGATATTTATATAACCATCCTTTTTTATCCCAAATGGTAGTGACACACTGTGAAAATTGTTTTTTCTCCATTGATTTTCAAATGATTTTATTTGTCCGTGAAAATTATAACTCATGTTATACAAAATAGATTCTTCTGGTAATCCATTTTTATACCAAAAAGATCTAACTGTATCTTCTATTATTTCGTAAATAGATATGTTTTTTTTAATATTTCGTGTTGTATTATTTATACATTCTTGATTCTTTATAATTATATTATCTGTGATAATTTCAATGATTTTTATATTTTTAACTTGCAATTTTCTTTTCACAGGCGTCCAATTATATTTTTCGTATAAATTTCCATATTTTGTTGGATCGTTTATGAAAATATCATCCGGTTCTTTACCGAGTTCAATTCTAACACCTTTATTAAGATTATAATTTGTTATATTAAATAAATTTACCTCCGTATTTGTTATTATTTTTTTATCATCACCATTGTATGTCACTTTTATGTCATTTTTATTTGAAGCACATTTTATTGAAATTTGTATTTTACAATTGGAAAATATTATTAAAATCATAAATATATATAAACGAAACATATTTGTCAATATTAATATTATAATACGTAAATTAAATAATCCTAACAAACATTTGCAACGGAATAATTGCATTAAACTATTCAATTCATTGAATAGTTTAAAGTAAATAAATAATATTACTAATATTATAAATGCGAATGTTTGGATGGATGGATATTTATTTCAATGTATGCATTTCCAAAATAGCTGCATGGATCTCGCTAAAATTTGGCCTAGATGTGGAACAGAAAGAACACATAGGCTACTTATTCAGTTCTTTTAATTCCGCACGGAGGGAGTCGCGGGCGACAACTAGTGAATTATACAACAGATTTATTAGAAACTGAATAGTTTTCATTGCAGAAAAACAAGAACATACAACCTATTTGTGTCTCAGTTTAGTTAAAGGAGATGAAAGAGATGACAATGTTTTTGTACGTGTGTTTTGAATAGTTGAAGACGACATTAACTATGACCTATTTATCAAACGCAGTTCAAGACCATAGACTTAGATTAAACTATAATATTGATAATCTTGTTATGTTTACGCATAACTACATATCGCCCGTGACTCTGTCCGCGCGGATTTTTTTTTATATCATAAGGTGGCAAACGAGAGACCAGCCACTGAAATCGCTGAAATAGCTAAGTGGCCGTTGCTCATAGGTATACGCAATTCCATATGCGTTGCCTACCTTTAATCGACGGAGGAGAGGATGCACAGAAAAAAATATTTTTTTTCCATGCATCCTCTCATCCGGAAAGTCCAGTTACACTTCCCATCCTTTAGTTATAAGAAAAAGGGTGGGAAGGAAAAGAGGACTGAATTAGGCTTCCGGGATCACATTCATCAGAAGCGGAATTGCTTCCAGTTGACGCATGTCTTTTGTGTGTTCGTGGTATTACACCGGGCGAGCCGGGACAATTCGTGCGAAGATGTTAAAGCGGGCTCTACCACTGTATAGTTCATTTTTGGCATTTCTATTGAAGTCTGGATTAGTTAACTATATGTAACATATCTATTATGTTTTTGAGTTTTATTGAACAAATAGTGAATGTCTAAAAAGATAAATAACATCGTCAACGATTTCTAGACAAAAGTTAAAAACAGATCATCATCAGCATACGTCCCCACCGAGGGGTTCGGAGCCTACCCTAAGTTAAGGGTGATTAGGCCATAGTCAACCATGCTGGCCAAGTGCGGGTTGGTTGACTTCACACATATATTTGAATTTCTTCTCAGATATGTGCAGGTTGCATCACGATGTTTTCCTTCGCCGTAAGAACGTCGGATAAATGTACATATGTAAATCAGAAACGGAAAAACACATTGGTACATGGCGGTATTCGAACCCAGGACCTGCAGATTGCAAGTCAAATGCTTGACCTCTGAGCCACCGACGCTCTAACACAGCTTATTAAAACAAATATTATTAAATAATTTCCTTGTATTTTAACGATAATATGATTTATTTAACCTTTGATCTTAAGTAAAAAAATTGTTAGTTTGAAATATCCCAAAGTAAATCAGTTTCATTGATTGTGCGGACGTGAAGTATTAATATTATTGAATTTAATAAGATGTTTAAATTAAAATTATTATTATTTTTAATAGTTTTAACAGTTGTTGAATCGAAGATTTCAATTGACGTTAATATCGGAAACACACCTAACAATATAACGATAAACTATTCAGGATTTGAAGTAAACGTGATAGGAAAGAAAGAGATAGAATTATTCAAAATAAGTAATGCAAATATAAAACAAGCGGTAAAAGAACATTACGGTAGAAAACCTAATAATGTGTATTTAAAAAGTCCTACACCTTGGGGTGATTTATATAAAAAATACAAATGGGAAGAAGTATCAAGAGTTCTAACTGTTAAATCGGCAATAATAAAATCAATAAATAAAAAACAAATAATAATTTTATCACACGATTTCGAAAACGTATCGAATAATACAATCAAAGTGAATACAGGTATAAGTCAAACAGTTGAAAATACGATCACAACAAGTTGGGCAAAGAGTAAAGAAACAACAATCTCACAGGACATAGAGTATGAGGTGAACGTCATGTTTGGTAAAGCTGCAGGTAAAACTGGCATCTCTTTCACATCTACGTGGGGTGAGAGTGAGGAAAGATCTGAAAGTGTGACAATCAGTGCATCCAGTTCTGTAGAAACAGAGTTAAAACCAGGACAAGCAGCAACAGCTGTGTTATCCGCAAGCAAAGGATCTTTAGAAGTCGAAGTATTATACTTAGCGACTCTTAGAGGAAATGTAGTTGTTAATTACAAATCAGCGTATAAAGGACATCATTTTTTCGGACCGTCTGTTGATGGCGTAATGAAGAGTGGTGGTATAGACAATGAAGTGATTATTAAAGAAATTATTAACATAGGTTTTTATACTGAAGCTAATTTGAAAGTTTACGATAAAGTTTCTGGTGAGACTTTGTAAGTTTATAATGACGTCATATGTGAGTTTTGTTTTTAATGTGAGTTTTCGAAACAACTATACACAATATTGTTATCTCGCTCGTACCTTTTATAAAAAGACAAGGATAACAATACCAAACTTTTGTACAGTCAGTAGCTTAAGCTTAAATAATAGAAATAAAAATATTTGACAACTGTCAGTCATTTTTTTTCAATTATATAACATAGAACACTAACTTTCACCCACGACTGTGTCTATGTGATTTTCCAGGCTATGTTCATCTATGTCAAATTCCGTTCTTTTTACCTTCTAACAAACATACATCCAAACATTCGCATTTATAATAATTGTAGGATTAAGATGAATGTATTATTGCGCGTCATCACTTTTATGAATCTTTACAACACGTTTTTATACAAGTATCTCGTTAGTGGAAACAGGATTACATAACATCAATTGATTTAGATCTTCAAAAGCAAATCATTACGATGCCAAAATTGTACAATTAAGGCCAAGGTCGATATGACCAAAGATCAGTCCACAAAAGCTCTATTCATCACGATTTGAACACAAGATATCCATTGTTTAAATCAATACTTATAGCCGTGAGTTTCCACTGTCAAAAAACATGTAAAAAACATATGGCTATTATGTTTGCTACATCTTACTAATATTATAAATGCGAATGTTTAGATGACAGGTCGACGCAGCGTGGGCAGGCCTCCCGCAAGATGGACCGATGACCTGGTCAAGGTTGCGGGAGCGTCCTGGATGCGGGTGGCACAAGACCGGTCATCGTGGCGATCTTTAGGGGAGGCCTATGCCCAGCAACAGGCGTGTCATGGCTGAGATGAAGAAGAAGAATGTTAAGATGGATACATGGATACATAGATGGATGTTTGAAGGTATCTCTAGTACGGCTGAACGGATCTCGATAAAAGTTTACATGCATGTAGAATATAGTCTAGAATAACACATAGACTTAGAAAAAAAGAATAATAATGCTTTTTTTGCTTCCCGCGCTGACGTAGTCTCGGACGACTACTAGTTGATTAATAACACATACTTTATGTACATTTAACCTACTTATGGTAAAGGAAAAAATCGTGATGCTGCACATATCTGAAGTCAACCAGCACTGGATCAGCGTGGTTGACTATGGCCTAGTCATCTCTAACTTAGGGTAGGCTTCGAGCCCCTCGGTGTGGACGTATACTGAGCTGATGATGATGATATAAGATTTTCTTTAAATAACATCTTTCAGAGGATGTGAAAAGTAACTAGCGACCGTGTTTAACTAATTTGGAGTAAGGTCGACTAAATTGTAGCAGTTTGTCTCTTCGTGTTGTCATTGTGGTACATCCTTGTATAGAACAATAAATACTTAGAGGCGACTTCAATAAAAACATTTGGATGTTAACAAAACTATCTTATTTTAAATTAGTAATTTTTCGTATAATTAATGAAAAAAAATTAAACCCACTGAACACCTGAGATACTGCTATAAAGCACTACTAACACTAAAGAAAGAAAGAAAAAGTTTTTATTACAAATAATAGAGATTAAACCAAATGTAGAAGATTACCAAAAAAAGTATGGATGGACTGTGTGAAAGAGGATATGCGCAAGAAGAGGGTAGATTCAAATATGACCGCTGATAGATATGTATGGAGGAGTACAAACTGTGCCGACCCTCTGTAGGGATAAGGGCAGGTTGTTGATAAAAGAAACCAAATAAGCTTATAACATTAAAATTACATATAACTGAAAAATTTAATTAAATTTGATGTTAACAAAAGAACGGACGTACACGCAAAGGAAATTAAGAAACTAAAGTATTGCGTGCTGAATTACAGAGAGTTTTATGCTTGTTCGGCTCCACTGATTTCTCTGTCCTCTAACAATCCACCTTGAAAGCTCCTCTATTCTTCAGCTAATGAGCGACAATATGTCAACCCCCGCCTGTTTAAATCAGTCTCTATATAACCACAAAGTACTGAGCTTAAAGTATCAAACTCTACAAGTCGTTGTATCAACAAAGTTTCATTCCAAACATGAAGGTATAAAAATTTAAAAATAGCTTTAAAAACAAATAAAAAAAACTAAATTATTTCAAGGATGTTGTCTTTTAACATTGCGTATTTTTACAATTAGATCGTATTTTTTTTCAGACCCTACTGATTACCATTGCCCTTGTTGCCTTCACCGCTTCGGAACCACCGCCGTCTAAGAGGTAAATAAATTTTCACATATTCCAAAAAATATTTAATCCAAATATCTCTGTTACTAAATATATTAGTGAATTCAATCTGTAAATTATATCATCAGTAACTGACCCTCAGTTTTATTATTTGAGTTGCCCTAGGCTAGATTTTTACGGCGCTTCCTTATTGGTGACGGGGAAATCTTTCAAAGATATGATGTCTTAGGTTGCACTGCAGACATCCCTAATATGCGACTCTGGTGCAGTGCTCCCTTATGTCCGGAGCCTTGGGCGTTTCACCTCGCCCTACCCTAACGTTGCTATAAGAACTTTGTAAAAACGTAGTATAAAAATTATTCCATCGGACTTCACACATTATGTTTTCACATAATAAATGAGAAATGAATTGTTTTACAACTAACTCCATACTAATAAATCACCTTGTCTTCATCCCACTTACGTAAGGTAGGCGAACCAGTTTTTGAAACTCGAATCTTAATCCATTTCCAATAAATCTGAAATTAACGTGTTTTCGTTCTTCAGCTATTTGCCTCCACCATCCGGTCGGTCTACGGGTTATCCTCAGGGCCCAGCAGGAGGACCTGCTTTTGATGCGGGAATACCTGAAGTGGTTGCCGCAAGAAGCCTTAGTCATCAGGACAATGATAATGGATTCGGCAGGTATTCTTACAAAAATTACAGTTTAAGGCTTCAAAAAACCTAATAATGACTCTATCTACTTAATAATATTTTCCTTTAACTATGTTTTTTATTTTTCAGGAATAGTTTCCAAGACCGTGGGGTAGACGCTAGACTCGTTAACGGTCTAAGAGACCAACAACATGGGAGGTTCGGTGCTAATGGCGTCCGAGACGAAAGTGATGTAAGTGGTTTTCTAACAGCGAAAAGTTCAAATAAGTCTCTTTAAAAACTCTTCTCAATTACGTATAGTAATGTAAACGCAGTGGTTCAAACTGTATTCACAGTAAAATGATAGCAGTAACGGTTTTAGCTCTACAATCGCCCTTGGCGAGATTTCTAGGGCAACCCTCTTTTTTACCATTTACTATACCTGAGGCGACCCTTTCTTGTCCCCTGGGCGGTCTCCTATCCGCACCCTATACTAACGCCGGCCTGGTATGACAGATTAAGAAATTGCGATTCAAGAAAGCCTTATTTTTTCCAGACTGTGAGCCTTGAAGCGGAAAGCGGCTTCAAATCTCGCGTATCCTACCAGGACTCTGAAGAACATAGTGGATATGATGCAAACAATGGCCGTTCGAATGGCTACCGCAGCCGTAGCAACCTTGCTGCACGATCAAATGGCTACTGATGCCTTTTTTTATTTTATTTTTTTTATATTTAACCTCTGTGAAATTCAGCAAGTTTGTAATTTATAAATCGATTTTCAAGCTTGTATATGTATTCGTTTATTACAATAAATTTATTTTTGATTTTATATTTATAATATTTTGTTTTAATTCTAATATTATATTGTAATCGAGTGAAGACGTGAATTGGATAAATGGCAACTCTACATGTTCTTTTCAAGGTTACGAGACATCGAATCGATTTCAAAGAATACTGACCAACGCGTTACATAAATCAATATTTATAATTGAGTAATTAGTTCGAACGTAATACATATTAAATAAAGAGAAATACGATATTCATCTCGTCTTTATATAGCAAAAAATAGTCTAATAGGTTTTTAGTAAAACTTACTTTGGATCGCATAAAAACCATTCAACTGGGTCAAAAATAATTAAATCGATTATGATAATAAAAACCCTAATGTCTTTTGTTACATTGTTAAAAAAACTGGATTCATTCATTAACGACGCTAGCAATTTCTGGCGATTTTGGCAGTGTGGCATTTAAAAAAAAATTGTAAAAAAAAATCTTTTAAATGCTTGCATACATCAGTTACCGTCTAATCCAAGTCCTGTCAAAATCGGTTCAGCCAGAAAACAATCACGGATTTGTGGACAGACACAAAAATTTAAATACTGTACTTCGGTATGAGCTTACATCATGTTCACGAAATATGGATGTTTTTCGTCATTACAGACTTACCAATTTTATTAATTGTACAGATTTATTTAGACCCGTCTTAAGCATATTTATTTCAAATCTTCTACAAGCGAGAGACAATATCCGGACCCTAAGGACCTCCATAAGCGAGAAACTCGGTTAAAGAAAACCCTTCATTAGCAAGATAAATAACGCAGTATTTTGGATTCTATCTTATCTATCATTCACATCTGTACTTACAATCAAGTAACTTCGACCCTTGGACCTTGATATAAGCCCTGTATTTATCAGGCTTTAACACATTACGCAGACGGGGACGCGGACGAGAGCGAAAGCGTGCCCGTGGCCCCGTCCCGATGCGTTGGAGGAACAGAGAGGTTAAGTGGGTATGCCTCCGCTATAGAGGAGAATCCCACATAACTACCGCGTCCCCCCCGGCTCGCGGAGTATGCATAAAGCATTCCCCTCTGGAAAAAAAGGCTTCAACACATTGTGATGGTATTTCGGAATTTACCACTTTACACACATTCGCTATAAGCAAGTACTTGTCCAATCTTTTATCCTTGCCACGTACTAATTAGAATTGCTCAATCAATTAAATGGGTAATCGGAACTCTGTAAATATTTGATAATCGTATGGTCTTCGATTTGTTTGAGGTTCTTTAGTTAATTTTTTGGTATAAATACGGAATTTTATGAGGCTTTAGTATCAGTCTAGTGACATCTTACATTATCAACATGAGGGTAAAAACAATTGAAATTTCGAATATATTTGATTTATTTTATTTAATTTTTAATTCATTTTAAATTGTATAGTAAATCTTAATACGAAAAACTAATTATTTCTCATTTTAATAATGGTATGGTTTTTACTTAACTTATTTCTTTCAGATATTCGTGATTGCCGCCCTTTTCATTGTCTCTGTGGCCGCTAAAGGCTCAGGACCTTATTTACCAAGTGGTTGGAGACCAGAAGGTCCCGCTTTCTATTTGCCATCTGAAGTAAAGGTGAATCTTACTAATGAAAATGTACAAAATAACCAAGACATGGTATAGAAAGGCTTTTGTTAATACTGAATTACAGCTATTAATTAACCAATCATTACTATTGCAGGAACCAAAAGAAAATCCATTCAAAGACGTGATATTCCAAGAATCAATAGCATCTGGATCTGATTCATTCCAAGAGTACGGTCCACCGAAAGTCGAAGTGGCACCATTAGAATTATCAAAGCAAGGACTACCTGACGAGGTTACCGAACAAGCATTCTCCGTAATTGAAGCTAAATCGCAGGAAAATGTTGAGGAGAAAGTCGAAATTGCTGTGACTGAAATTCAAAATATTGTTGGAGATTCTGAAGGTAAGATTACATTTCTACGTCTTTCTTTTTAAGATAACAAGATAAGAAATCACGTGTTAAGTAAATGCTTCCTACAGGTAAGAAACAAACTAAATGAATTCTGATTCGTTCCCTAATTTACAGCAAAGAGGACAATAAAATGGATCCCATTCTTTTTAATTGTGTGTTAAACGTTTTATATTTCCAGCTAATCTGAGTCAACAATCATTCGTACAAGAAGCTATACCAGTAACGGAATTAATCTTTGAAGAAACAACACCTTTAGTTGAAACAGAAATCATTGAAGACATCCAACCAGCTGAAGTAACCACACAAATTGTAGAAATAGCCACAGCAGTTGTTGAAAACGAAGAAATCACACAAATCGTAGCTGAAACACCTATCAATGAAGTACTAGGAAACGAAGCTACAGCAGAAGTAACACAGCAAGAGAATGAAAATGCCAACAGCAATATCGTATCCACCTTCCAAGAAAGAGTGCAAGTACAAGAAATACAGACTGTGAAAGAAGAAGTACAGAAAGTTGAAACTGAAGTTCAAAATGTAGAAACTGAGGTACAGAAAGTAGAAACGCAAGTCCAGAACTTTGAAACAGAAGTCAAGACTATCGTACAAGAGGTTCAAAATATCCCAGAATTATTGAACAGTATTGACAATGAACAACAACAACAGGTAAAAAAAACACTAATTTGGATAAGAAACTTGTCTAAGGTACACTTTACAAAGTTAAGTAACTAATTTGTTTAATTTTAGGTTGAAACTGTTCAAGACGTATCTGCTAAAGTTATTCAAGACACATTTGGGTAAGATAGAAACCAATTTATTTGCTTTAAAAGAAGTTAAGTATTGAATAAACACTGTATTATTTTTCAGAACCCTTGAGCAAGCTCCTGAAGGCTTCTTGGAATATGGACCTCCCGGTTTCAAAGAGTATGGACCACCAAAAGAGGAAGTTGTTCCAATTGCTGAGGTAAGAATGATCAGAGTATCTTTTATGACCCTTTTTCTGATATTTTTAAATAACTTGTCCTTACCCATAGGTAATTCTGCCCGTGCAACAGACAATTGAAAGCAATGCCAACAGAAGACGACGATTTTCTCCCAAATTCAGGTAACTAAAGGAATTTACAATTTGCAAAATGTGATGAACAATTTATAGCTAATTTGCTTGTCTACTAGGTATATTATTTGCATATTAACTTGTGTGAAAAATCAAGAATAATGATTAAAATAAACTAACATTAATTATATTTTTAGAAAATAAAATCGTTTACATCTGGCATCAAGTTACTTGACACAAAACACCAATTAGAAAGAGTTACGTCACGTCGTATCCGACGCCATTTTCGTTGGTACACAAGCCTATTAATTAATTAATCTTTCATTTATAGGACTGCAAGGAAAGCGAACAAACATTAAAACTTGAAACCAACAAATTTAAAAACCACGACAAAATGGCGAATATTGCAATGCAAGAAACAAAAATTTTACGCTGTAATTTAAAATGATATATGTAAATGTACTGTAAATAATAAATGAATATTGAAAAATTAAATGCATTTCATTATTTACCCACACCACAATGACAATCTTTGGTATACGTTCTTATATTATTTTGATTTTTTTGTAAAATACGACAATAATCATTCTTTTAATATCCAACCTCCGGTAGGAGATGGCGTCTCTAAACAAGATTCTGTACCCCACGGTTTTTCAAGAATAAGTGATATTTCAAACAATAAATAAAAATTTATCTTGGATATTTTCTTTTTTAGTGGCTAAATAACTAGTAGCTGTAACATTAAATTAAAAGACGAAAAAGCAAACGTCAATGTCAAGGCAAAAAATTGCTAATGACATTGTCATTTTAAAACAGTTGCTGATTGGATTTATTAGTAAAAATAAAAGCAGATAAAAAGGACAAAGTTCTTCTTTTATTCGTAAATAATAAAGACTGAAGAACAGCGTCCTTGTGCCGCGATACTGGATAATTTTATATACATGTTAGTCTTAAACATTGTTTTCCACGAAGCACTTGACATTTTACTCGGTCACATAACTGTAAATAATAGCAATTTTTTAACTTCGACGTTACCGTAATTTAACAGATTTAGTCATCAATTTATTCACGTTTTTAATTCGACTATTTTTCACCGTGTTATAACATTCTTTTTTACCTTTCCATTAAGTGATTAATTGTATTAAAAATGGTTAAAACGCAATGGATACTGACGTGTGTACTTCTGTATACATTTTTGTAAGTTTTTTATAATTTTTTAAATTAATATTCTATTGTGAGAAAACAGATTTCTCACAGTGATGTCTTGTCTTTGTATTCTATATCAAGTTTATTCAAAATGTGTATGGTGATTGGAATAAAAATTATAATAGCATGGTGGCTTAATGTACGTAAATTCACAACAATTATCGTAAGGTAAGGTAGATATTTTTATGGACACCTACATGGTATATGCTTTATTATATCTTAATGGTTCCTATGTTAAAAAGATTTAAAATTTAGCAATTTTACAATGCATAAATCTAAAAAAAAAATATATAAGACTACCATTTCAAGATGCATGTTGTTTTCGCATGCAGCTTTATTAATCGTAATAATATTATTTTCTTGTCTGTCTTGATAAATTACATCCATTATAGGGATTGTCATTAATTAAGCTCAAATGGGGGAAAAGATTTTGGAAAAAAAATTGTTATAAAGAAGGAGCCTTTAAACACTTATAAGATGTATTTATGTTTAATTAATATATTCTTCTGTGGATAAAAAGGAAGTGAATTCAGATTTAATAATGAACTATGCTCCCTCCGCCTATTCACATAACAGATTGGTGATGAATATATTCATTTATGAATAAAATTATCTTTTTTGTACATTGGCCTATTGCCTAGATAGTGTTGACACAATACTGTACCACATCTCTATTGGCCGTTATATCTAAATTCACTCCCTCACACATATTTTTATCCCGGTCAAAAATAACCTGCAACTTCTATGTCAATCATATTTATCAATGCTTAATTATCCAAACCAGGTTATACCTTTGTACAGTACATAATATTACTTTGTACCAAAAAATATATATCAATTGACAAGTTTTAAACAGTCTATAACAGAGTAATTGAGAAGCAGAAGGTTAGAATAATATGGACATATTATGCCGAGAGATAATCACGTAAACAACAAAATAATGCTTATTGAATACAGATGGCTATAAAGGTAGAGGAAGACCAAAGAAAGTATGGATTGAGTCAACTGTGTAGAGATATGAACAGATTGATGATATTGAGAGATATACAGGGGCTTGTCTTGCTGAAAATCATGTTGTTATTGCATGACCCCTTATTTACATTGGAGTTGGACTGTGACTTTCTCATTGTCAAATACAAATACGTAAACATGTTGTGATGAGATAAAAATTAATTATTTTATCAATAAAAAGTCAAGGTGAACTTAATTATGCATATAATATAAAAAATAACATTGTTATGACTACAATTAAAAATTTATTATATGCATGAAAGGAAGTTCCTACCAATATGCATATAAGATTTATTAATATCTCAATAAATATTCTTAATTAATACTTACAATGCCATTGTGTTTTCCGGACGAAAATTCAAGCATGTCCGGCCTCACCGTACATGGGAGGAATAGTGGGGTTTAGCCATTATGCTACCTATCACGAACACAATCCTACAGAGAGGGTGCGGAGTATGCATATAGCATTTCCCGCTGGAAAGAAAAAACTTCTTTGTGTTAATGCCAAGGATAAGTGACATGATAGTAACAAAAGTCTAAATTTGAACAACAATAAACATGGAGAAAATGGAGGTCTTTACCCAGCAGGGTCATCACTGTTTTATTTACAGTAAAATCTATATTTCTCGCTTATAGAGTTTTCTCCTTAACCCGAGTTTCTCCCTTATGAAAGTTTCTCCTTATCCTGAGTTTCTTGCTTATGGAAGTTTCTCCTTACCCTGAGTTTCACGCTTGTTATATTCTTTAACGTTAAAAATATTTATATTAAAATATAATAATAACGGTTAATTATAATACTACAGTGTAAGCTACAAAAGCGAGAACTGGATAAACGGGATTTATCCGGGGGGTCCGGTTCCGACGGACTATCTCCATAAGCGAGAAACTCGGGTTAGAGAAACCTCTATAAACGAGAAAAATATCGCGGTCTCTTGGACTCTTGCTTATTATTCGATTGAATTATGTATAAATTCACTATTCTCAAAGGAAAAGATTGTGATGCAATCTGAGCATATCTACGAAAAAAACACTAACTTGGGGAAGGCTTAGAGCCATTCCGAGAAGTCATTTGTTATTTTTTTTTTATTTTTTAATTTGCAGGGGTCTATTTCTCGGCGCGTCAATATCAGCCGGTATTTTCGTGTTTCACGTCGCTGTTGTGCCTTTGATATTTAAATATTCGAAAACGTTCCGAAGAAGCCTGATTTTTGCTAACTTTGGTGAGTTTTTTTGTGTATTTTTATTTTCAATTCAAATTGATTTTAAATGGATATAAATATAGTTAAAATAATATTTTTAATGAAACAAAGTCGCTTTTCCAACAAAATTGTAGGAATATTGTTAATGAATTTAAATTATAGTAAGAATACGAATTCAAACACACTTCGGTTATAATTGTTTTGTTTACGACGGTTACAATGAAACTAGTCATGTGTAAATCAGTTCTGAACCAATTCAAAAGTTCAGTTCACGTTAACTTCAACAGCTGAGCTACGGTTTAACAACAAAATTGGCAGCTAACAGCCCATCGCTATGTACTATAACTACGTTAGCAGAGGCAGCACCTGTTGAATAGCAGCTCAAAAGGCAAATCATTATGCAAATTGAGCTGAGACGATTTACTGATCTGTTTTACACATGTGAGACATGATCTGATATCTGCTCACTACACGTCCCCACTAGGACTCGTATCCTACCCTAAGTTAAACAAAACTGCACGTTAAAATGTATAAAAACATATACTTGAAAAACTTTACCCTATTGAGTCAGACGGCTAATAATCTTTTACTCAGATTAAAAACGTGACGTCTAAAGATTATTCAATGGAATGGAATATTTTATTGTTCCTAATTGAATGATAAATATTGCATTTATCTACACCTTTAAAAATGGAATTTAAAAATGATTTATTGCTTGAACAAAAATGGTACGTACTAACATTTGTGCCGGGACTTCTATTTAAGCATCCACAACGGTCTTGTGATTGGAAATCCCGCTCTTCCGTGTCACATAAACAATATCAATGGTACCTTACTTAATCTAAAATTACACCTTATCGTAGAAGACAATAATTAATTAATATCTTATAGGAAATAGTACTATATCAATATTTTAAATGATTGTAACACATCAAAGTTTAAAAATAATCTGATTTTTAACGAGTCATGAAGATAAGTCATAATTATACGTGAATAGAAACCTTTGTAAGTGATGCGAACCTTTTACGAGGAAATTACGCGAACAGATGAAAGTAATTTGACACAATTAAAGTGTTGAATTAAATTAAGGTCGAATTTGGACCAATGAGTGACCACTAGTACTATAAATTTTGTCTAACTAGAGAATATTGTTTTACGTGAATTTATAGTAAAGACGAATAATAAAGGTTAAATTCTTTCGAAAGGAACAATTCGATTGTAACTAAATTGAATTCCATTGTCAGCTTCTATGATATACCGCATGATACATTTTGAATGACGCCTAAACTGTATTATTATTTCCTAAAATGTTAAAAAGTTGAATTTGCTGGATTTTAAATTAACTTGTAGACACATACTTGTGTTGTCACTTTAATATACAGGTGTCTTTGTGTCGTTATCAGTAAATCCTGCTTGATATTATATTCTTTGTTTCCAGTACAATGGCCTTTAAGTATAGATTACGAGGATCCATCGTCCAGTGGTATAGATGGAGCAAGAAACTTGAATATAGAATACCATTCCAAAATCGACAGATGTCCAATCAGAATTGGTAAGATTTTAATTATTAACTATATCCCTATATAATGTTATAAGTCATATTACTAGCTATCTTATCACGCGTAGCTACTTAGTACGCTGTGTTCTTCCAGACTATGTTCTACATCTATGCCAAATTTCAGCTTTCAGAGATCCATGCTTTCCGGAGACACCTTCAAACAAATATTCATTTATACATCCAAATTTATAATGTTAGTAAGGAAACCTATGTCAGCTCCCCAAGCAAGAAAGAATTTTTCAAATCGGTTCAGTTTTGGAGCCTATTCAATTGCAAAGAAACAAATCTTTCTTCTTTATAATATTAGTAAGATAATATAGTACTTTTTAGGATTATTTCTGTTTAATTATATGTTGTATATTGCAGGTATTTGGCATATACTACCAAAGAGCACGTATGAACGTATGAAAGGTAGTTTCGAAGGGAATTGTGATAAAGAACAATTGAATATAGCAATGGACGAAGAATTAGCCAATTCTAAGACACCTGTCATATTGTATTGTCATGGTGAGTATTAAATATTTAACGATATTAGTAAAGGAAGACGGTATATGAAGGCTCGACTAGTAGAACCCATGACAAAATGGCCGCCGTTACAAAATGGCAGATGATATACTTCGACCGAAACCCCATAAAGTCGGTAACAAGAGATTATTTATAAATACAAGATGTCTCCCTACACAAGATGACAGTTGACATATTTTTTACAGACTTAACTTACGGCTTTACTAGTAACACTGAATACAAAATGGCGATTATTATGAAAATATTTTTGTTTGTACCTACAGGTAACTCGAACTCCCGCGCGGCGTGGCACAGGATACAATTGTACAAGTTCTTTCAACAAATGGATTTCCACACTATAGCTTTTGACTACAGAGGTAATATCCAATCTTACTTCTCAATATGTATGGATGGAGGATGGATATTTGTTACTATGTAACTTTGAAACAGCTAGAAGTATGTGAATGAGATTTGGAAGAGAGATAGCACGTAATATAAAAAAATAAATCGAACCTGGATATGCGAGCGTACAAGGGATCACGATATTTTTCTCGCTTTTAGAGGTTTCTCTCTAATCTGACTTTCTCTTTTATAGAGGTATCTTTCTCATGTGAGTTTCTCACTTATAGAGGTTGCTCTCTAATCCGAGTTTCTCGCTTATAGAGGTTTCTCTTTAATCTGAGTTTCTCCCTTATGGAGGTTGTTGTCGGGACTGGACTGTGTCTTGTAGAAGTTATTTTTAAACTAGAATAATATGATAAAAAGCGATTGTATTTAAAGTTAATTTTTTAAATTAAATTCCAGGTTACGGAGACTCAACAAATCTGACTCCAAGTGAAGGTGGTGTTGTGGAAGATTCACTTATTGTATACGATTGGTTGAACACTACGTTAGATAAAGGGGAAGAAAAGCCACCAGTATTTGTATGGGGACATTCTTTAGGTATTCATTTTTTTTTACTATTCGTTCTATTAATAAAATGTGTTAATTATTCAAATTTTCGTGAGACATTAATACTGTAAGTAATATACTTGATATGTTGTTTTTAGGTACTGGAATATCATCTCATCTTCTTGGCAACCTGAAGGAGTTGTCCTGTGAGATTCTAGAACGTTCCAGTCCTTTACCTCAACCTAATGGACTCATTCTCGAATCTCCTTTTAACAATATTGCTGATGAAGTCGCGAATCATCCACTTGCAAAGGTAATGTCATATCTTACTATTATAAATGCGAATGTTTGTATGGATGGATGGATATTTGTTAGAAGATATTTCCAGAATGGCTACATGGATCTCGTAGAAATTTGTCATACATATAGAACATAGTCTGTAAGAACACATAGACTACAAAATTTTTATACCGCACGGATGAAGTCGTGGCTGACAGCTAGTATTAAAAATCCTTCAAGTTCTTTATATACGGGCATGGATTGAGAGGTTTCTGAGACCAAAATATCTGTATAAAACATATCGTCATCCCTGTCATTATATTTGACAAAATAGAGACAACAATATGTTTTAAACACAGATTTTAGTCTCAGAAACCCACGGTTAGTCACTTCGCATTGAAACCACTTGGCCGTTAATGTTCATAACATATTTTAGTTAGTAATCTGGCTGCCGTACTTTGAGAATACATTTGTGGATCCGTTCCGCGCGCGTTGCTGCGAGCACGCTTTCGTGTCAGACGTGCATCTGGCGCGCGCGCGCTCGCTGCCCGTGCTCGTGCTGCACGCCAAGGATGACGTCATCGTGCCCTTCGTTGTTGGCAAGAAGGTAATAACCTCATACAAAGCAATCTTTGGACATCAGCTCACTATACGTCCCCACTGAGATCGGAGCCTACCCAAAATTAGTGACTAGGCCATAGTCAACGCTGTTCCAGGGAGTGACTTCACACATATCTTTGAATTTCTTCACAGATATGTGCAGCATCACGATGTTTTCCTTCACCGTAACTACGTCAGATAAATGTACATATGTAAATGGAAAAACACATTGGTACATGGCGGGATTCAAACCTATGGCTTGCTTACAAATCAAGTGTTTAACCACTGAGCTAACGTCCACATTTTTGGACAGTGTTTCTCAAACTTTGACTAGTGAATGATTGAGATAGTTTATTTAATTAAATATTTATTTTCAGTTGTATAAAGCTATACTAGAATCTCGATCTGAAGGAGACGCGGCTGTTACTTTGCACGCTTATGATAGCAAACTCAACTTGGGACATAAATGGATCTGTACCGCACCAGATCTACCTGATGTCATACGGTGAGACAGTTTAATTATTAAATGTATGGATGGATATCTGTTAGAATGTATATCCATAATGGTTGTATGGATCTCGCTGGAATGTCACAGATATAGAACATAGACTGGAAGAACACATAGGCTACTAATTAAGTTTTTTTTTTATTAATTCCGTGAGGACAGAGACGCGTGCGACGACTAGTAATATAAATGCGAATGTATGGTCAGATGGTTTTTTTTTTAAGTTAGGGAACGTATCCATATTATGTGACCCGCATTGGTTGGATTGGCATGTACTACGAGTGGTCACCGAGGGGAAGGAGGGGTCTGTGCCCTTATCTCCAGGACCGCTTTATGGATTTTGATGAAATTTGGCATAGATGTAGAACATGGCCTAGCAAGACAAGACTACTAATTAACTTTTTTAATGCGGACGGAGTCGCGTGCGACAGCAAGTAAAATAATCATGATTTCTGACTATTTTCTAAGATTGTTGTTTTATATTTAGTTAGGCAAGCAATCTCACAATGTAACTAATATATTACTTAAACTATAGCACTAAGACGATAAAGCCCTGGCTCCTATAATACGGGTCTAGAACCTAGTTTAGGAATCAGGCGTACTATTACGTAATTTTATCATAATTTTCTTGCCTAAATAAACGATTTTTATTTATTTATTTATTTTAAATATTTTTCTTTTCAGAAACTTCGTGAAAACACACCGATGATTCCATCATGGTGTTATTTATAGTAAATTGGCTTTTTAAATTTCACGCGGCAACAGGGACGATACGCTTTTTATTACACATTATTTATTTATTGTACTTTTTTAAGTTTAATAAAACAGTTTTATAAAAAAATATATCTAATTTTATTCATGTCAGCAACACATTTTATATTTAATTTAATGTTATTTTTAATAACCTTAATTTCTCCGTCTCACTCAGAATCTAGAAACTCAGAAAATAGAGAAACCATTTTTTTAATTTTTCACTGGCCATAGATTTATCATAACCTTTTTTACTTTTGTAAAATTCTATTGAATTTATTTATGGTTATATTTAATCTGTCATTTTGACAAACCAAATATCTTACATGATTCAATAATATTTTTGTAATAAAATGTATAAAATAAAATAATAAAAATCGATAATCAAGTAAATTTAAAAAACAATCACGTTAACAGACAAATCATGGTGATAGGGTGAGTTTTATTTTATTTATTACATAGTTTTATAAAGTAGTTCAATATTTATACACTTTTAAAACCAAAATAACGTATTTTAGAAACAAATACTATGTAATAAATTATTAATAAGTTAAAAGACTATGCCATTTGCTAATTGAACGGCGAAAAATATCAATTATTTGTACCTGGCATCGCTTCTAGACTTTTTGTCTCCCCTTCTCCAATAGTACTCATTTCCAGGGGCATATTGATGGCGGGTGCATCACTCACAGCAAGTGTACTTTTAATACAAGTAGCTGTATTACCACTCGTGTTTAGATACAGCAAGTGTGTACAGAGAAAAATGGTTTTTACAAACTGCAGTAAGTATACGATAATAAGGCCACGCCTGAAGAATTTATTAAAAATCACTATGAAATAAATATTGCTATAATTTTTTTACAGGCGTTTCTATTGTGATTTGAATTTCAGTTTTATTTATTTATTGTCTATATTTACAGTAAATTATCCAAGAAATTTGGATTATAACAACCCTTCGAGTTGTAATATTATCGGTGCGAGGAATTTTACAGTGGAATTTCAATCGAAAATTAACAATTGTAAAATATGTCTAGGTAAAGTTTACGTTTAATTTTTTAGTAATCTGTCTAAACGGTGTGTTAAAATTTGACACAAAATATTAATTTTACAATCTTTCAAAGGTGTATGGCACATAGTACCATGCTCCCTATTCAAGGAGATTTTCGTGGTAAGAAAGCATTTGGATTCGAACGCGAGACTTCTGAACGAGCTTAGACAGACGAAGAACACTGTGGTACTTTACTGTCACGGTAATACAAAATACATTACTTATAAAATCATTTAACATACATTGCCTGTTCACAACCAAATTAATAACTATACTTTAATATCTAAAGATCAATGGATTTTCAGGTAATTGCAACCACAGGGCGTCTCCACACCGACTAAATTTATACAAAGTGTTTCAAGAATTAAACTTTCATGTCATCACATTTGATTATAGAGGTGAGTTTGTAACCAACAAGGTTGAATATAAATAAAATAAACACCAATAGTTAAATAAAATAAAACAAATAAAACTCAGATACTGACAAGACCTGTCATGCAAAAAAATGTGACTTAACTTAACAACGCCCTCTATTTTTCTATTTATTAAAAACAGCGCCATCTATTCAGGTTACGGAGATTCAACATACATTCAACCGACAGAGCGCGGCGTGGTGGAAGATACTCTTCACGTATATTCGTGGATACTTAGGTCTATTAGTCGTACGCACAGACCTATGGTGGTCATTTGGGGACATTCTTTAGGTATGTATATAACCAAACATGGGTCAATTGGTAATTAAAGGGTAGTTATTTCCAAATAGTATAGGATATCCTGGGAACTACGGAAGATTTATTGGGGGTTTACGGTGGAAGGAATCAAAGTTGTAGAAAAAGTGTAGCAACAAGGGGTACGAAACTAATTGAATTTTGGAAGTGGTTTGTGAATTAATCGCTTTACGTTGAATACTTTGAGTATGCCGAAGTCGTTAGTGGGGTAAAGAGGGGCAGCACCTTACTTGGAACAAGACCAGATTAATTTTAGCAACCGCTAGTGACGTTGATGGCCGCAAGACTTGAATATGTCATTCATGATTAGAGACTCAAGGCATTATCAGAAAATCATCGCTAAAGGGTATTAATTGCCGATTATCCTTTTTCATGCCCTAGGATTAAGGTTGATGGTATCACAAACATTGGTACATTAATTTTACATGGGAGAAGAGGAATAAATTAATTTAGTAGTGAATTAACTTTCCATACGAACCACGATCCAAGTTTCTAGACTTAAAGTTTTCTTACAAGACTTGTGTCTTTACTGAATTCATTATGTCTTTTACTTCGTCAGTTTTTATTCAACATGAGTATGTCCTTCACGTAATTGATGAATTTTCAAATTATTATAAGTTGCGTTAATTACGGAATCACTTTTGGGGAGTGAAGTATTTAACGGAACTGTAGAATATAGGTTTGATTATTCTAGTCGCATGAATTTGTTACTCTTTTCTTGTGTCCCTCGTTCAGTTTGAGTCTTAACTTTTTGCAGATGCTTAATATTAATCTTTTGAAGAATTTCTGGAGCCTAATATTTTAGCGGTCACTTCCACAGTAAGGTTTCGCTTTGAGAAACAAGAGAGGTTTTGTTTCTGTCATGCCAAACAAAGCGTCGGGTACTACGACTGCTTATTGATGTTTTTATATGTAGGTACCGCAGTAGCAGCCCATTTGGTGGCACATTTATCTCAGTTATGTGGCAACATGGGGCATGGCACCATGCCACAACCCAGTGCTCTAATCCTGGAGGCTCCTTTTAACAACTTGATTGAGGAAATTGAGAGTCATCCCTTCTCTAAGGTATGTATTTAAATAATCGAATTTTGTAAAACATATTGACATTTCACTTTTTTCTTTAAAACAAACAGAGAAAGCAAATAAACTGATATATAAACACGGCTAAACACTCACGTATATTCGTCCGGTGGCGGCACCGACTAGTTTTCAGCCCATCGGGGGCCCTTCATCAGGATGAGCGTCGCGGGCCCCGTCCGCGAAATAATACCTGTACCACTCATCCTGATGAAGGGGCCCCGATGGGCTCGAAACTAGTCGGTGCCGCCACCGGACGAATATACGTGAGTGTTTAGCCGTGTTTATATATCAGTTTAGTATAATGTCTCACGAAAGTTTGAATAATTTAGGAGATAGCAAATGTTTTGGCAGTCCATGTCACGATTATTGGTTAATCATCAATCAATAACAGTGCAATTAGTAGAATTGCAGTATCCGTCCGCGTTTGTTCCGCGTAATCTCCGAAATGGCAAGGCCGATTTTGATGGGACTTTGACTTAGTTTGTATAACAAATTAGACAATTTAACGAGTCTGTCTTTAGATAGTCTTTTTGTATGACCATTTATCTTTTGCTGGTATTTTAGTTGGTATCCTGGTTACCGTACTACAAGGCGACATTCCTGAAGCCATTCTCAGTGTCATCAGAGTACGCGTTCACTACAGACCAGTACTTGATGTTGGCACCGCAAGTTCCAATCCTTATTCTACACTCCAGGAGCGATAGGATTGTGCCTTATGAGCTGGCTGTAAAGGTATATCTTTGATTACTTTCCCTCTAAGACATCTGGAAGCAGATTGAAGAGTTCACTCCACATATGCGTAATGATGACATCCTTCATGACCTGACTGTAAACAGCGAACTTTAGTACATTCAATAGAGTTCAGAGATGACCTGTAAATATATACTGAACTACAAACAAAGAGTAGTTAGCCTTTCAGGGTTTTAGGTTGCACTTTGGTGCATGTGCACAAATACACCAACTTTTTCCCCCATTCATTATTTAACATTGGACGTTTCGACGTGCGGCAATTACATCTGTTTATAGTTGACATCACCACTTATTATCAGGGTTTGTGATGAAGCACTGATATATTTGTTATTAAAAACTCACGTAACCCCTGAGTTCACGAGTGGTCAAAAGAATGAGTTGATATGGTTTGAGGACCTGGTGGGGTTGGATAATGTCACAATCTTTGCCTATCTATGTTTGTATTCACAGCTATACAACAGTACGGTAGCTAGCAGACGAGAAGCGAGTTCACAGGCACCGGTTGTGCTGCACGGCTTCGAGCGTGGCCAGGGCCTCGGACACAATAACCTCTGTCAAGCGCCTGATCTGCCACACGTCGTCAGGTATGCGACAACTATGTTAAACAACTGAAACACGTCCGTACTCGTCGACGGCTTGGTTAGATCTGACATGGTAATAAACTTGTACACGAGACAGTGTAATCAACTACCTTTTTTATAGTAGCTAGCTAAATATTTTTAAATAGCTAAGTGACCACTGCCCACAGATACGTTGTCTACCTTTGTTTGACAGAGGAGAGGACGCACAAAACGAGAATATTTCCCTTTCCTTGGCGGAGATATAAAGATAAATAAGCTTGGCTAGAATTGACATATGTAAAAAAGTATTAAAATACGTTTTGACCGGAAATTGTCGCATATTTGTAAGGGTCAGTCGACATTCAAAGTTATTCAAACAAAACTTTGCAACTAATAACTTTGTAGATTTTATGGTGTTCTGTGAATTTTGATGTAGAGATACGATGATCTCTTAAATCTCTTATATTTCTTCTTTATACATTTTTTATAAACGTTAATCTATTTGTTTAAATATATGATATTAAATTTTAATTTCTTTTACAGTAGTTTCCTGCAGACCGTCGAGAAGTATGAACAACACAAAAAATAATTTATCTAAATAAAAACCGATAAACGAGTTAATTATGTAGTTTGATTTTTATTTTTATAATATTTATTAACATTACTAGCTGTCGCACGCGACTGCGTTCGCGCGAAATTAATAAAAAAAATAGTAGCGTATGTGTTCTTCCAGTTATGTTCTACATCCATGCTCAATTCTAGCAAGATCCATGCAGCCATTCTGGAGATACCTTCAAACATCCATCCATCCAAACATTCGCATTTATAATATAAGTAAGATTTTAATAGTTTAAAATAATACAAAAAATCAAACTAAATGTTGATTTTGATGCATCCAAATAGAATAAAAA